CAATTAGTGTTTCGATTCTTAAAGTTTTTAGAGACTTTTTTTTAGACCTTTTTCACTTGATGCTTTCAATAATTCATTCACTTTGAATTTATATTTTGACTAAATTTTTCAAATTGAATTTTACCAAGAAGCTTCGCAAACAAATCGGCTATGTTCTCATCAGAATCAATTGGTATAATATCGATTACTCCCTTTTTACAGTTGTCATTAATGAAATGATAATGAATCTCGATATGTCTGGAGTTTTTTGTTAAAGTTTCACGCTGAGCTATGTCTAAGGCTCTTGAATTATCTTCAAACACTTTAATTGGCCTTTTAATTTGAATATCAAAAAATTTAATCAATTCTTTGACAAATAATAATTCTGAGATGGCTTCCGACGAAGCAACATACTCAGCAAATGTACTACTTTTAGTAACAATGTTCTGTTTCTTTTCTTAGTCTTCCAAAACACTAAGTTTCCAACAAATTGATGGCAAATTCAGAGGTTGACTTCCTATCTGTACAATCTCCAGCCCGATCAGAGTCTGAGAAACAAACTAAAATTTCAGGATTAGCTGATTTTTCATAAATTAATTTCATATCTTTTGTTAAATATAAGTGCTTCAGTACATGCAGAGCATATTTAAAGTGTGTCTGATCATAAGTAGTCATAAACCTACTCAAATAGTTTACAGAAAATGCAATATCTGGCCATGTTGCACAGCTAACATAGAGAAGTGCTCCTATTTGATACATATCTGTAAGGTAAGTCCCTACATTCAATAGCTGGTTCCAATTTCAAGTTTTCTTTCATTGGTGTCTTATACAATTTGCTATTTTCTATGCCATGTTCATGAGCTACCGATTCAATATATTCATTTTGACTAAATGTCATTACCTGTGTGTGCAGATTGTAATTTACATCTTTTCCTAGATATCTTTTAATTTTACCAAGATCTTTCTTATGGAATTTTGCTTCGAATTTGTTTTTTACATCAGTGATGCGCGTCACACTCTTCATACAAACTAGTAAATCATGACCAAATATGATAATACAGACAACTTCACCTTTTTGATTTTTCAATACATGAAGACTGATTCCTATTAAGCATCTTATGAAACCTAAGCTTATCAAATGATCATGAAAGCAATCATACCACATCCGTGGGCTTTCTTCCAATCCATACAAAGCCTTTTTTAGCCTGCAGACTTTCCCTCCTACTTTTGCAAAACCTGGTGGCTGATTTACATAAACTTCAGAACTTATTTTACTGTTTAAAGAGGCCGTTTCGATATCCATTTCATGTATATCCAATCCATTCTGACAACAATAGGACAACAACATTTTTACTTTGTTATATGAGAGAATGTTTACTCTATTAATTCTGTTAGTTGAAAACCTCTCACAATAAGCCTAGCTTTATGACTGTTTTCTGCCTTCTTAGTAAAAATCCACTTAACATCTAATACTTCCTTATCTACTAGTTTGTTCACAAGAGACCATGTATGATTTTTCTTTAAACTATTAAGCTCCTTCATCATTGCCTCATTCCACTTGTCAGCTTCACTACTCTTTATTGCATCCTCATCAGAGATGGAAAGTGAAATTTCATGAAATTTCATAAAGCTCGAATAAATTTCACAAAAGTTGAAATTTATTAATTTTTTTTAGAATTATTTATTGCACCTTTGAAGGTCTGAAAGCGTTTCAGATGGTCTTTCTGTTGATGCTGCGTTGTTATGCTACTCTACTGAAGTGCCAGACACAAAGAGGGGGCAAAAAGGGGGCAAAATGGGGAGTTTAGAGAGAAAAACCCCAACCTAACCTCTAAACTTAACGAAAACATTTGCAACGCGCGAATGTTTTACGGCTTGGGGTAAAAAATTTCAAAATTTAGAATCACTGTTTCTAGGCGTTTCTTAGCCTCCTGAATGTATCCCCAGAAGTTTCAATATATTTCATGAAATTTCGTGAAATTTTCCATCTCTGATCCTCATAAGATTCAGGTATACAATCATTGCAATAATTAACATGAGCACAATAGTAAACATCATTTCATCAAATCGTGCAGGCTCTTTCCGTTCTCAACAGGATTTTCATATTTTTCTTCACTTTTCTTCTCATTGCCTGATTCTAAATCATCATCTGTATCCCTTTCATCCTTACAACTAATACAGTGTACATCCTCTTCAATAATAACCGCATGCCTTGCCGCTGTTACCTTACCGTTTACAAGAACTCTGTAACCTACTTCTGCATATCTCAGCAAAATACCTTTGTCTGCTTTTCTATCCCATTTTGATGCTCGCTTTTTTTCTGGAACTCTCTCGAACGTTGCACTACCCGACAGGCGTAAATACTTTACACTAGGTTTTTGGTTAAACATTATTTCAAAAGGAGTTTTCTTTTCGAATGTGTTTGCTAAGGTTCTGTTTTTCAAAAGAGCAGCGGTACAAACAATTTCTGGCCAAAATTTTAATTCAACTTTTGCCTCAGCAAGTAAACATCTAGATATATCCATAATGGATCTATTACACCTTTCCGCTGTGCCATTTAATTCATGTACATAAGGAGGGCAATTTTGGGCAATTTTTTTTTTTGAATACCTTTTCTTCTTGCAAAATTATGTACATCTATGTTCAGATATTCGGTGCCATTATCACACAAAATTTTTATCTCACATTTATTTAACAAGTCTTCTATTTCATTTAAATATTTAATGAAGCAATTCGTCACTTCATTTTCGTGTTTATGGGATAAGTCCTACCGACTTTGCTGAAGTCAACCAGGAAGGTTAAAACATATGAAAAAATTAAACACTAAGAAGTGGCCTGAAATTGTATGTAACAAGGTGGACTGCCTGAGCTGAACACTCTCCCCCCTCAGTCTCGTACTGGTGCGCATTAGAGTTCTAAAAATTTATTTTTGACTCTAATTTTAATTTTTGGTATTTCTTGGCTTTGATTCCCCGCGAAATGGTGTGGACCCAGCACCATTTCTCCACCTTGTTAAAACATACTTTTCACCATTTACTCCTGAGGTTTTATGGGGTCCGTTTAGATCTGTGTGAATGGTTTTTAAACATTCTGCCGCTCGAATTCTATTATTTTCAAATGGAAGATTATGCATTTTATTCTCAATACGTACGTGACACTTCATGTAATCAGATTCTAAAATTTCGAGCAAATCATGAAGCAACTTATTCTTAACAATTGTGTTTAAATACAGGGTGCGGCAAAAGTCCCGGGACGGCTGTTTATTTTTTAAACGGCTACACATAGAAAAACGAATTTTGGGGGATGTTCTTGGGTTTTGGGGTTTGTTTAAGCTACTTTTTGGCACTCCCCAAAATTTGTTTGGGGACCCCCCCTAGGGGAGGGCGGGGGGCAACTTTTTTTTTTCAAATAGCAACCCCCCCCTTTGTGATACCTCATTCGAAAGATAATAAAAAAAGACAATTTTTGGCGCAAACCGCAGGTCAAAATGTTCATTTTTGACAAAATGGCGGCCGGTCAAAGTTCAAAATGGCGGAAATTTGGCATCTCCCTTGTTTATTGACGGATTGGTGTGAAACTCGGAATCTTAGGGTTTTTCGAGATGAGAAAAACGATTCTGACATTGGTTTTCCAGAAAAGTCAGTCCTTTTCAAAATGGCGGCCTCGGGCGTGCAGTGTATATTTAGGTTGCATATCGTTGGATTTGCATGAATCTTGGTATCTGGGGGTATTTCGGCACGAGAAGAACGAATCTTTCATTGGATACCTGAAATTTTGACAAATTCCTGAATGGCGGCGGAAAAATGACGGGAAATCAGTTTTACGGCTCTTTACCGATGTATTAGCATGAAATTATTTGATATTTCAAGAATCTAATGAAAGATTCTTTTCTAACGAGCCAAAAACCGCCAGGATATCCAATTTCATGCAAATCCATCGGTAAACAGCCGTAAAACTGATTTCCCGCCATTTTTCCGCCGCCATTCAGGAATTTGTCAAAATTTAAGGTATCCAATGAAAGATTCGTTCTTCTCGTGCCGAAAAACTCCCAGATACCAAGTTTTATGCAAATCCAACGATATGCAACCTAAATATCCACTTCCCGCTCGAGGCCGCCATTTTGACCGCCGCCATTTTGAAAAGGACTGACTTTTCTGGAAAACCAATGTCAGAATCGTTTTTCTCATTTCGAAAAACCCTAGGATACCGAGTTTCACACCAATCCGTCAATAAACAACGGAGATGCCAAATTTCCGCCATTTTGAACTTTGACCGGCCGCCATTTTGTCAGAAATGAACATTTTGACCTGCGGTTTGCGCCAAAAATTTTCTTTTTTTATTATCTTTCGAATGAGGTATCACAAAGGGGGGGGTTGCTACTTGAAAAAAAAAAGTTGCCCCCCGCCCTCCCCTAGGGGGGCCCTCAAACAAATTTTGGGGAGTGCCAAAAAGTAGCTTACTTTGACCAAAGAACGTCCCCCAAAATTCGTTTTTCCACGTGTAGCCGTTTAAAAAATAAACAGCCGTCCCGGGACTTTTGCCGCACCCTGTATGTAAGATTTACATGACCTAAGGTGCGATGCCAACATTCTTTAACAATCATCTTTTCTTTTTCTTTCTTGTCAACTAAATATACATTAGGAGATTTCTTACGAGTAAAACTAGTCAAACGATAAAACTTATTTTCTTATTAGCGATTGCCAACAAATTTCTATCATGGTCATAGATTTTACCAAATTTCCCTATGTAAAGAATAGTGTTGTTATCTGTTATCTTTCCTACACTTAGTTTTACTTCCATATCTTTAACATAAAACACGTTTGGAATTTTAACATCAGTTTCCTTACCATATACCATAAAAGAAGCATCTACTTGACCCACTTTGGTAGCCATTAACACTCTTCCATCTCATACTCTCACTTTGACAGGCTGTTCTAAAGTAATAGAGTTACAAAAATGAACATCTGAATTCAGTATATGGTCGGTGCTGCCACTGTCTAATAACCATTTTATCTCATTGCAAGACGGATTACCTTCTTCTAGTGTCGAACAGTTTACCTGAGCAACGAAAGTACCAGCAATTCCATCACTTGACTGGTGCTGTCGATCTCTAGAGCCTCAATTACTTCCTCTTCAGTGACTTCTTCTAAAGTTTCCTCGATGATACCCTCTATTGTTTCCACGATGATTACCACGGGGGTTGCCTCGTTGTTCGTTGATTTCCTCGATAACCTCTTCTTGGAGCATAACCACTACGACTTCGATCGACACAATGATTCTCTGCTGATAATGTCCGTAGTTACCACAATGAGCTTGTTCAGTAATTCGTAATTCTTGCATTTTTGGAAACTAGAGAGTGCACATAGTTCACAGGAATTTTCCCCGATTTTTTTGAGCAATATTAACCCACGAAATACGAGTCCATAAGTCCGTATTTTGGGCTCCCATTTAAACGCGCGCCGCTTGGCCCATCTCAAAATGGCGCCCATTCGATCCGTCCGGCGGTGGCCACACTTTTGACCCAGCGTGTCGGCGAGGTACCTCTGCATGCCTCTGCCGCGTGTGGGTCGTAAAAACAAACGAAGATTGATAACACAAATGATCCAAACAACTCGAAATCTCTTAATTTTAATTAATTTAAATCCATTTTCGACTTCAACCAAGCATTTGGCAATAATATGCATCGTACACAGTTGGTCTGAACAAGTTTAAATTTATTGACGAGTCACAAGCAAAAACTCTTCAGGTTCTTGAAGTAGAGTGTCTACTGAGTCATTTCAGCCAAAAAGAACAAGAGAGCAGAACTGGATTAAGTAACTGTAGTCTCTGATTTAGTTCTAAACTGCGAATTTGAAGAGCCACAAGACACACATCAAATGTGTAATCACTTGGTTTGGGCCAAAGAAACCTCAAACTACATGAGATCATAGTGGTAAAGCTTGAGAGGTCAAAAGGCTATAATACTAAATAAATAGTGAACTTCTAACTCATGAATGAATTCAGGACCACATACTTAAGACAAAGAAACTGCAAAACATTTGATTTGAGGCGAAAATGAAAAGAGAATGGTCAAAAAAAAGTAAAAGAGGAATGTCTGGGTTTGGACATTGGATTTGTAAAACTGATTTTCAGAATGCACCTTTAAATGAGCCGATAGGCCGTGGCTCCAGGTTGTAAAATACGCACAGTTGGTCTGAACAAGTTTAAATTTATTGACAAGTCACAAGCAAAAACTCTCCAGGTTCTTGAAGTAGAGTGTCTACTGAGTTATTTAAGCCAAAAAGAAAAAAAGTCTGTCGAGCTCCTGGAAAATAAAGTCAATTTAAAGGTATTTTCAGGCTAAAATAGCCAAATTACCCATATTATGCCCATATATAATGCCCGTCATATCATTTGAAAAAAATTTTCTTCCTGAATATAATGTCCAAGTTTCTTAAA